TAATAATAATAATAATAATAATAATAATAATAATAATAATAATAATAGTTAAATCCAACTTTGTTGTTGATTTTGGTTTAAATTCCTGAATCATATCACAATCATCACAATTACTTTTTTTTTTTTTCATAAGGGGCTGAAATGCACTGCACTAAAACCTAGACCGTACCAAACAAATTAATTTTAGGGCTCTGTTTTATTGGCGACACGGTGGCTCAGTTGGTAGTGCTGTTGCTTCTCAGCAAGAAGGTCACCAGATTATAAATTATATTTATAAATATAAAATAAAATTATAATAAATGGGGTATTAAAATAAATTTTATTGATATTGCCTTGGGCTACTATTCAAGAAACAAGAGCGATTTAATTTAATTTATTTATTTATTTTTTACATACTGTATCCTTTTTGGAAGGCCTTACTGCACATGTATGGCTGAATTTTATAACTATGCACATTAATTTATTTGGACAACACCATGATTTACAATCACAATTTTGCAATTGTTCTGGAGAATTATTTGACTACACAAACAAGCCTGAAAGAATGTTGTGTTCTTGTAGACATTTTAATGACCACATATTCTTCAAATGTGAAGAATAATTCAAGTTTATGGAATATAACTTTTGTTTGAAGCTTGTGTTCACATCAAACAGAATCAAGTCAGAGACGGTAACAGAGTGTGATCCATTTGTTTCTATATTATTGCACTTCTTGGTGGTGAATGATACACAATAGTGTCAGACGTTACTGTTTCTGAGCCTAGTAGTATTTGCAGCTTATAGGAATGTTGACTACCAAGACAAACACCTCTATATTACCAAGTTAAAACTTAGCAAAACCTGTTTTTCTTTAAGCTGACACATTAAGGTGATTTTTTTATGACACATTCATGATTCAAATGATCACATATTAGTTGTACAATGTACAAAGTTTGACATATTGCATCACATAATATCTATATGTGAAGGCATAAAATACTGAAACAAACAGTGTACTTCCACACACATGTACACTAAGTGCAACACATATGTTTGTACTTTGTACTTTACTAGCGTCAGCACCCTCCAAAACCACATTAGACTTGTCATCATGGAAATATGTGGAAAAGACCGTCCCAGTCCTCTTGAGCCAGATCTTTGCTGTTATCATCCGACAGTTCATTGGTCGTGCTTTCAGTACGTAGTCCTTGAGACTGTAGTCAGAAGTCTTTATCCTCAGAGGATGAAATTATCACAATCTCCCGGCTTTTAAAATCCCACACGGCTGTCAGATGGAAAGCCATGTTGGAGACGACCACAAGGTACTCAAACAGGGCAAAAAATGTGTAACCTGTCAACAAAACAAACAAATGTGAAACACGCACATGCTTTGTGACTAAGGTTTTTACAAGTCCAATTTTCATCGCCTGCTACCGAACAAAGATGGACAATAATGTTTTTGCCCGTGTCTGTTTGTGTGTCTGTTACCACAAAAAGTGCATCTACAAATGGTTAACTTTTTGGAGTTAACCCAAGTTAAGTTGGGCATACTGTATTATAGAAATATGTTAGAAATGCAGCTGCCAGGAAAATGACAAAGAGGAGGTAAATGGATGCAGTTAGAGAGGACAAGGAGGTAGTTGAAATTAGGACAGAGGACAGCGTGAGATTAAGGTGATTGACTTGCTGTGGTGACCACTGAAGAGGGAAGAGTCAAAACTCTGCAAGTCATTTCAATTGAATACAAGCGGTACACCGATGTTGCTGAGGGGTGTTGAATAGTGAATCTTTGTAGTTTGCAAGATGAATATATATATATATTTTTTTTCTGGACTGGAAATGCAAGTAAACCTAAATATTTTTGGTGCAAGATAGTCAAGTGCAGAAGTATCGAGGTAGTATTTATTTTATGTCCAAGGCAGTGCAGAGTGACAGATCCTGGTGAGAGGAGGGAGCAATTTGATCCATGACCAGGCACAAGAGCGAGGGGGTGGCTAGTGGTGGCCTTGGCCACCAAAGATTAATCTTTGGCCACTCCAGTCATTTCAGGAAACTATACTTTTAAGCCCAACAAAGATAAGTCAGGTCATCTGGATGGTTTCTTTGTGTTGAAACGTTTCGTCTTTTAGCGAAAGGACTTCATCAGTCTGAGGAGCCACAAAAAACTCAGTCCCATAAGCAGCACATATTGGGTCATGCTTTGCTGGTGATAAGATGGTTTCTGGAGTCCGCCCTCTCCCCTGTTGACTCCTTTGAGGCAGCCATGTCCAAAGTGGTTCAGAACATCGAAGTTCATGCTCAATAATCCAGGTAAAAAAATCCAACAAAGTTAAGTCAGGTCCTCTGGATGGTTTCTTTGTGTTGAAATGTTTCGTCTTTCATCAAAAGGACTTCATCAGTCCGAAGAGCCACAACAAACTCAGTCCCACAAGCAGCACACTCACATAGTGGGCCATCCTGGATTATTGAGCATGAACTTTGATGTTTTGAACCACTTTGACCTTGGCTGTCTCAGAGGAGACGATGGGGGAGAGGGCAGACTCCATCTTATCATCAAACTGGCTGGCCCACTATGTGAGTGTGCTGCTTATGGGACTGAGTTTGTTGTGGCTCTTTGGACTGACAGAGTATTTGGATGAAAAACCAAAGGAGGACCTGACTTAACTTTGTTGGGTATTTTACCTGGATTATTGAACAAGGACTTTAATATACTTTTAAGCAGTATAAAAAATGGTTCATCGCAGTTTCCTCAAATAACAGACACATCCAAGTTGGGAGGGGCCATCTTGGATTTTGACGTGGCAACCCAATTTTTGACAGTGACTTTCCTTACGCCTCGATACAACCACACACCAAAAGGGAAGTCAACACATTGTTTATTTTTCAAGTTATCCAGCTCACAAGGTTTACATATATGGTGGCCGCCATCTTGGATTTTGACATGGCAACCCAATTTTTGAAAGGAACCTTTCTTAACGCCTAGATGTAACCACAAATAAAATGTAAGTCACTAACTCACTTATTTTTTCAAGTTATCATGCACAGATCAACAGGCAGACAGACGGATGGATATTTCCAATTTCCCCTCTTTGCTACACAACGGGGGACAAACCACCACAGCTAATTGATTTTAGTCAGCATAAAATGACTATAACTCAATGTTACAGATACTGAACTAAACTTTGGTGTAGCACCTGAGAATATGTGACAGCATATACACTCTTGAGTATGCAGTCTTACAATATTGCATGACATTTTGCATAATGTTATCTTATATTCAAGGTTTGACAAAAATAGCTACAATTCTGTCATTTCTCAACCTAAGTCCTGAAGTCTTTAGTCCTACACTCTAGCATGAAAGACAGCAGGTGTTGTGCACCTTCCTCTTTATGTGTCTTATGCTTTGCGTCATTAATGTTCACAGGCCGTACAAAATATGAGCTCATGTTTGACTTACTTCCTGATTCACAGTACACGTTGTGTTTCCAATAAAAGAATCCAGCGAAAACGCAGAAGCACACGTTGAGAAGTAAGAAACGCACCTTCCAGTGATGAGACTTGGCGTCCTTTAAGGGAGAAAGAAAAACACTGAAATGCTACAAATGATATGAAGGAAGCGTCAGTGCTTTTTGATTTTTTTTGGGGTTTTTTTGTTCGGTATTTCTCACCTCGGGACTTATGGAATACTTCTTGATAGACTTCCACAGGCGGCATGTTATCAGCATGTAGATCAGAGAGCTCACAATGAACAGAACGAAACCTTCCTTGTGCACAACTGTACAAACAGACGAGACATTTGTCTATCATGTGGAATTTATACTTTAAATGATTTTTGTTGTTGTTGTTAGATTATGATAGAATAGAATAGAAATAGCCTTTATTGTCCCATGGATGGGAAATTCAGTGTAACAGCAGGAACAGATAAAAAGATTCACACAAAAAGTTCCTAAACGTTAAAAACAGTACATAAAGAAATAGGATAAACAATATCAATAATAATTTTCAATATGTATTGGAACATTGATAAGGACAGACTATTTACAATACAGTATTTAGGCAGAGTGTGTGTTTTAGCAGAGGTCAGCATGTATTTAATCCTTATTGCGTATGTTGGGAGCAGTTGAGCGTCTATATTTAAAAAAGTATTTGCAACCATTAACACATAGAACATATCCAAATGGAAAACAAAAAAACACTCCAAAATGATTTTTTTTAATGAAGGGACACATGCAGACTCACAGTACATCTCCGTGGATGACACATAAGTGAGTAGCAGGAGGCCAAGGTTCTCAGAGATTGAAAAAGCCAGGCTCAGGCAGCTGAGGGGACTCTCAGGGACCCTGGCAGCAAAGCGGGTCTTGTAAAATCTGAAGTAGGTAAAGGCCACGAGGAGCCTGGGTGCAGTGTGCAGTCCAATGCAGAACCGCCAAATGTAGCACTCAGGACTCAGACTTATCGAGGCACTAATAGACGGCAGGTAATTTGGAACCTGAATACACAGAATGAAAAACAAAACATAATGGTTATTAAAATAATTACAACCGATTTAATAATAATAAAATATTGCATTTAAATTTTGGTTCATCGGAATTATTTTAACAAAACAAGCCAAAGACATTTGCTTTAACAAAGAGGACGCAACCCTTAACGTTTAATATGTTAAGGTTTTGCAACAAAACATTAATGTTAATATGTATTATAGTACCTGGCAATGTGTACCAGTAGCATCTTCAAAATGAAAAAGAAAGGATATGGAGACGCATGTTATTAGTCCAAGCAATGGCAGGCACACAGATCCCAGAACACAACAGGCAAAGGACATCCTGATGACCAGGGGCTTCTCATGCCCCAAACTATTTGAGCCCTGCAGCATATTTCTCTGCAAAAATAAAAATGTATAATATAAACAAATCTCCATGAGAAAATAACTCATGTCCAATAGAGAATGATCATTATCTTATGATTTTTTTAAAATCTATTTGGTTTAATCTTGCATGCATTAAACACGTGGGCTCTGAAATCAACCTACCTCCTCTTGGTTTATTGTTGAGCCAGTAAATGACGTCACTCACACCGCTGGCTCGACAAAAACAAGGACGTGACAACAACATTCTTTGCGTCGTGGGGCGCGACGGGTCTGAACGTGACAGCCCCCATCGTCATGAAGCAGGCACGTGAATAAATCCCGTAACGTTTCAGTCTGATGCTCCCAGCAGATGGTACCCTGCGCGAGGAGGAGGCTGCAGTCCTGTTTGTGCGGGAGGGACGGATGGAGAAGCAACGGCTTCCGGAGCAGAGGAGCGCTCATCACCTCGGTGGGCAGGAGGGTGGGGGCAGGAAGCCTGTCAAACTAATACACAGATTATAATAAAGATTTAAAAAATCAAGCACGTCTACAGGAAACTGGCTGTTTGATATGGAGCAGAAATAAATAAATAAATAAATATATATGCTGTTTTGAGGATTGCTGGTTGATGTAACAGTCATTTAGATGCCCTAACCCTGATCTGTGCGCACGCGCCCGAGACAAGGTGCACTGTTTTTTCTTCAGCGCCCTCATTATGTCATGTGATGGCATGCATTGGATTTTCATGTGATGGAATGAGAGGTCTGTCAGTGGCCACAGTGCATACAGAGAGGGTGGGCTTTACTGCTGAAATTATTATTGTTATTATTGTTATTATTATTTAGACAAGTTCAGCTTAAACCCAAATGCTATTTGGATCCAGATGTTTTGCTTCACCAAAATGAAACGCAATAGAATCCAAACTTTATTCCACGTGTGTCTTCTCTTCAGCGCCGTGTCGAGTAAGTACATTTGTTTTATATGAACCTGAACTTCTTGTTTTTTTTTTGAGCGGTTCCATCTTCAGATGCTGCCACAGCGAGTCGTCTTCCTCCATCTCTGAATCATAATATGCCTGAACATATGATATTCTGTTTATCTTACCCTTCAGACAGTTTTGTGTCTTTTTTTTTTGTTATGGTTGAAAAATAACAAGAAAATAATTTTAATCCCTATTGATGACAACAAATATTTGTATATGTTTTATCTTCAGCTCAAATCACACCTGAAGTGATTTAAAATATATATATATATATATATATATATGTAGCCTATTTGTTCTTGGGTTTCCTCTTCCATGTTAGCAATTGCCAAAATTATAACAAGTTATCAGAGGATTTTATTCTCATAATCCTGTCGACATGTCTATCTGGGTCAGAGGCTTAATTTGAACAGGCATCTGGTCTGTCCAAACCCACAGACCAGAACAACAACTATTTACCTTGTTCAAACTGTTTATACACATTTTGGGGGCAGCTGTGGCTGAGTGGTTACAGCAGTCGTCCTGGTAGTTTTATTCCACCATGCTGTCCCATGACGTTGTCGATTTTTCAGTCAAGCAAATGCTCTCTGCACAGTCAGATTAGACTGATCTGTTTATAAAGAAGGACATTCTAAGCTGGCTTTGCCTCCCCTCCTGCCATCCATCATGGATTGTGTCATTTTGTGTCACGTGTCTCTCCCTTGTCCTTCCCAGCCCCTCATCATCCTCAAAACTGGCTTTTCTGTGCAAGACAGTCACTGGTGGGGAAAATGGCAGAAAAATCACAACAAAATCAAACTTTTCTTAGCTAAAACAATTATTTTTGGTGCATTATTGCTCATTCTGTATCATTTCTGTCTCCCAAACTAGTCTGTCAGTGTGCTCATTTAAAATATGCTCAGAAGCTGCTGACTGATTTAATGACCAACTACACGAGTGCACTGAGGCCCGTGGAGGACACAAACACCATCCTGAATGTGACTCTACAGGTTACACTGTCACATATTATTGACATGGTAAAACATCTCACACATCAACCCAGCACTGTGCAATAATCACTTGTGAATAACTGCACGTGATAATTGCACATAAATCTGTCATCTATGTTGTCATTATATTTAAAATGTTGTCTTTTACTTTTTACAGGATGAGCGAAATCAAATCTTGACTGCATATTTGTGGATAAGGCAGGTGTGGTTTGATGCACACCTCAAATGGAATAAAGATGACTACGAAGGCCTTGATACTATTCGTATACCTGGTAGTAATGTATGGAGACCTGATATAGTCCTTTATAACAGGTAAGTCAGACATGGTTGGATCTTATAATTCAGATACTGCTCCTGGAGGTCTCCTTTTATCAGTAAAAGTCACAAAATGAACACTGACTGAAACCATTTTTTCCACAAAATTCATTTCAATTCAGTTCAACTTTTATTTAAACAGATAAATCACACTGATCCTCGAAGACTCATATACAAGTGAGATCTGTTTGGACAGACAATAAAAAGTGGTGAAAAATAATACATATGGTTTGGAGACAAAAAAAAAATCCTAACACGCTTTTAACCTCTGGTTGAAGGTCAACAGCGTGATAATGAAAAAAAAAAAAAAAATCTTGCACATAAGCACATATTGACGCCAACAGGCTGCAAGGGGTGGGGTAGGTGACGCAAGGACGGTGAGCATGTCCAGAGACAATGCACAGAGGCACTGGAGAGTCTAGAGAATCCTGAAATGATAACATCATGTTTATTCAGCTGGGCCCCTCTGAAAGGTTCATGGAATTTCTCAGTAGGAGGAGAGGGAGGGTCAGAGCATCAGGTTTACAAAACTTCCAAGCGAATTAGATAAGATGACCTGTCAAGGCCAGTCAGGGAGCCAAATTCAGATAAACGCGATTGTTTGGGGACAGGCAGAACTTTAATGACATCTACCTCGAGTCTGTGTCGGCCCACTCGGTTCCGAAACGTCCAAATTAAATGGCCACACTAATGGACCGTGCCTGAGAATAATCCCCAAGATCTGATACATCCTGCCAAAAGCAAATAAGTCTGGGTGCTCGAGGCACAAACCAAGCCATCATATAAGGCAGGCAGCCTGACCAGTTCCAAATTTGCTGCCGACGACTTCCTCGATTGTAGATAAACCAGCAACCAGCCTAATCCAAAAAGCAGGAACCAGTTATCATAAATCCATTTATATATGCGTCCCTAAAATCCATTAATGACAGCAGAGATAGACACATCATCAATTCTTCATCATCAATTCTTCCAAGTCGATGAGATATCCAGCTGCGTGCGTGCCAACAGGGCAAATTGGCTCACCTAGCCTGTCTTCACTTTGAATAAATGTTATCAATTGTGTCGAGGGACCAACTGACCAAATTCAAATCCATAAATTATGATTCTTAAGATTTGTAGCAGAGAGGCTCTAAACAGTTTCACAGACAGGACAGAGCAAAGCGAAGCGGAGAGGGAGATGCCCTTGAGAAGAGCAAGTGTTGAAGTCATAATGAAAACTAAAGTAAGATGTGTAAGTTTTGTGAGCAAAATGGTACAAAAACGTGTTAGTACTTTTGATTTTTGGTGACTATAGTCATACTTCCACGTTAACAATTGTTCTTTGCAAACCACACACGTAGATAAAAAATAATATTTGATAATATATAAAAGGCAAATGTGCTGAGAAAAAGGTACAGTTCTTTAAAGTGAGTCGACACTTTTGTAGTTGGCATACTTGAGTTATCAAGTTTCTTGTTTTTATAGCAGCTGCTGTTTAAATATTTGTTAATTAAACATTTTGTTGAGTATATATCAACCCTGTTGCTTTAACTTACCTTTTCATTGGTCATTTCGTCATCATTATCTTCAAGCAGACTCTCACACTGGTACATTTTCATCTTTAAATCACTTCTTGGTCTCCTCCTACATCACTACATGAGTGCAGCTACAGCGTGCGCTCTCAGGACATAATTACCTGCAGTGTACCCTCAGTGCAGACTGAACTAGGCAAAAGGGTCTTCTCTTACTCTGTTCCTGTTTCCTGGAATATCTTGCAAAAAGATCTGAAGCTCTCAACCTTGACCTCTCTAAGTGGCTTCAAACAACTGCTAAATTCCTGGCAAAAACAATGCAGACATGTTCCTGTTTTTAATATTTTATATCTTTTTATAATGTAGCTGTTTTTCTTTCATTTTTAAAATATAATTTATTCCATTTACTTTTCATTTTATATGCTTCTTTTTATAATTGTCTACTGTTGTCGTCTGTGTTCTTTGTTTAAAACAGGTCTCTCTTGTAAATGAGTCCTTGAGGCTCGATGACACTAAAGGTTGAATGTAACTGAATTTCAGACAAGCTGTCTTTGTTTTTCAGTGCAGACAATCATTTCACTGGCCCAATGGACACTAATGTGGTGATCCAACATGATGGCCAGATGATGTGGGATTCCCCGGCTATCACCAAGAGTTCGTGCAGAGTGGATGTGTCTTTCTTCCCCTTTGATGGTCAGCAGTGCAGGTTCACTTACGGGTCTTGGACCTATAATGGCAACCAGCTCGACATCCAGAACGCCATGGAAAGCGCCGACCTGGCTGACCTGGTGGAGAACGTGGAGTGGGAGGTGCTCGGTATGCCGGCCAAGAAGAACATTGTTCTATATGGCTGCTGCGCTGACCCGTACCCAGATGTGACCTACACGCTAAAACTCAAAAGAAGAGCTTCGTTCTATGTTTTCAACCTGCTCATCCCCTGTGTGATGATCTCTTTTCTGGCACCGCTTGGCTTCTACCTACCAGCTGATTCAGGAGAAAAAGTTTCTTTAGGGGTCACTGTGATGCTGGCACTCACTGTCTTTCAGCTGTTGGTTGCAGAGATCATGCCACCTTCTGAAAATGTACCACTTATTGGTGAGGATGATGGACCAAGGTTAAATTAGCATGTTAACATATCCACATATGTGCTGAACATCTTGTCTTATGCACTTTCACAGGAAAATACTACATTGCAACAATGACCATGATCACAGCATCTACTGCTTTGACCATCTTCATCATGAACATTCACCACTGTGGCCCGGATGCCAAGCCTGTTCCTAAATGGGCCAAAACCATCATTTTGCAGTACATGGCCAGAATGTTCTTTGTTTACGAAGTTGGGGAGAACTGCATGTCAGCACAGACAGAGAAACAACAACGTCCTCCTGGAAAGAACACCAACTGCACCATGAATGGTCAGGCAGGACCAGGCAGAGAGGACTTCAAAATAGAATGTGGTCAAGCAACAATGAACCCCATCATCCCAGAGGAGAGAGAGGACATGGATCACACAATGAGTTCAATAGACTCAGTTGGAAGGAATACGACCACTCACTCCAGCACTTGGAGCTATGGTGTCTTTACAAGCATGGACTGTGAGGGCTCAGGGGGTCTGAAGAGATGCAGGAAGGGAGGAGTAAGTGAAGAAGAGAAAAAAGATGGAGACACTTCCTGTAAAACTCACAGCAATACTGAAGCACTGTTGCAGAACATTGACTACATCGCCAGCTGTTACAGAGATCAGAGGGCAACGCAGAGGAAAACCGGAGAATGGAAGAAAGTAGCTAAAGTGCTGGACCGTTTTTTCATGTGGATATTTTTCATAATGGTGTTTTTAATGAGCCTTCTCATCATGGGCAAAGCCATCTAACTGCAGAACAAATCAGACAGTCCTTAAACACTATCACATGCACTATCTTACCATGATGCAGGACCTTTAACTGTTACATATGTTTTTAGCCTTTTCAAGCTTTATTGTGCAATGATTTTTATAAAACCTTAGACTAATTTGTTTATTCTGTATATTTACATGCATACAGGTTTACATACATACATACAAGTTTACACACAGGTTTACATACATACATACAAGTTTACACACAGGTTTACATACATACAGGTTTACATACAGGTTTACATACAGGTTTACATACATGTTTACATACAGGTGTACATACATACAGGTTTACATACAGGTTTACATACATACAGGTTTGTCCCTTTATTGTATAAAACAATCATGTCATCAACAAAAGATTGTCTGTTGGAAAAACATAAATAAAGTCTTGAATCTTCAGTAATAATGTGTTTAAACTGAATTTACAATTCTTTGGATTGTTCACACATTGTGCTCATGCACTATAAAAAACAGAAAACTGCAACTTTTCAATGAAATACAATTAACTTTTTCAGATGTCTGAAGCTGGATCATCCAGGTCCCTGCATTTTTGAAAATATAAGGACAAAGCTTATTGGAGAATAAATCAAGCAAGTTACTTTATACTTTATCTAAGAATATTTTAATCTGAACCTGAAAGTTCAATTTTACAAGCAGGAAACTGTGAGAGTAAAACACACAGACTAAAGAAAGCCTGGTCTAAAATGATTCATGAGATATTATAAAAAAAAAAAAATCAAATAAATAGCAATAAATAAATACATTATTATAGGATAGTTATGTAAATCGAATGTAATTCTAGGAATTTTTGACATGCTGACACTGACTGACATTTTATGACACACGGTTTTACAACTAAATAAAAAAAAAAAATAGGGAAAAAAAATAACAGGCCATAAACATGAAATCCCTGTCATTTTCAATGCTTTAAAGGGATAAAACAGAATACATTTTGTGAATTAAAAATATTTGTATAGCGCCAAACCGTTACAAACAGCAATATTATGTGCAAAGTGCAACACATATTCATTCAACCTTTATTTAGACAGGTAAATCCCATTGAGCCTCGAGGACTCATTTACAAGAGAGACATATACAGAACTGCTGCCATCAGGTTTAAATGAGTCAGCTCCAGGACAAACACATTCAAACTTTATGTTTACTGACATGTTCTGTTTGTAGTTAAGGAAATTTTCAAGACCATTTGCAACAACAACATAAAAAGACTGTTGTTTTGATCTGTAACTTTCTGAAATTGCAGATCACATTAGGTTAGTCTGCAAAGTTTATTGGGAAACTCATGAACTCACAATGTCCTCTTACTTGATAGTTATAATCTTCTGCACAAAAGTTTACAAGATAATGAACTCAAGCTTATTTCATAATTAAATTCTAATTCAATTTGCAATTTGCATTTATGTACAAAATTCATTTAGACACGTTTTAAATCAGGTATTGTAAATTTAACAGTAAAAACTGTCTGTTTTAAGTCAAATAAACAGGAAATACTAGAACGGAATCACTTTTTTTCTCTGCAGTATTTCAACTATTTTAACCCGTAAAGATTTTGTTTGCAACCCATAAATGACGGGGTTTAAATTGGCTGGAACAACGTGAAATAAAATGTGCGCTATCTTCCTCAAATCTGGGTAGTTTGGAAATCGATGCAATGTGATTGTTAAAAATCCAGACCAAAGCATGATAAGATAAAGGAGGAGGTGGCTCGCACAGGTCTGAAGCGCTCTGTTATTCAGCTCTTTGTTTTTCTTTATCCAGCAGATAAGAGCTATTCTCATGTATGTGATCACTATGCCTCCTATGGAACAAGTAAACAGCAGCACAGTGAAAACGAGTCCATAGATGTTGTTGATGGACACGTCTTCACAGGAAAGCTTGAACAGGGATGGGTTGTCACAGTAAGCATTTTGGATAAATGATCTACAACGGGACAGCCTCACTGTTAGCCCTAGGAGCACAGACACAAGCACCAAGGACACCCCCCACACAACTACAGACAGCCCCACCACAGTCCTGCCAGTCATTATTGAGCTGTACCTCAGAGGGTGACATATTGCCACATATCTGTCTATCGCCATGATGATGAGAATCAAGTGGGATGCTGATCCAAATGTGTGGCTGTGAAACGCTTGAGCCACACACTGGTTGTAGGTGATGAACCGTTTAGTTGAAAGGACGTGAGCCATCACCTGAGGCAGCAGGGCCGTGTTCCCGATCACGTCGTTGACAGAAAGGTTACAAAAGAGAAAGTACATCGGTTGGTGCAAACTCTTCTCCATGATGATGAGGGCAAGGACGCCGATGTTGGAAAAGAGCAGAGACAAGTAAACAAGCAGAAGTAAGAAAAACAGAGGATATGTGAACTCTGGAGAAATGTCAAACCCTTGGAGCTCGAGGACGTCGGACGCAACTGATGCATTTTTCTCCATCTCGTTTCACTTGGTGGTAAATCTGGAATTAAATAAGTCAAATATTTAAAAATAGGGTTTATTATATGTAAGTTACTTAAGCAAACAAAAATTAAATACAAGATAACTAGTAGTTGCATTGTTTTCAAGTAACACTATTAAATCAAAATGTTTGTTTACCTGAACATACTGCAAGAAATTGTGCTCTGGCACGATCACAACACAACCATTTTATAAATACCTTCATGGTGGTGGGAGGAAACCCACGTTTGCAGTGTTGTTTTTTTCCACAGAGACCCACACAAAGAAGTTTTGAATTCTCAAGAACTAAAGTTGTTTCTGAGATATTTTAGTCACATGTCAAAAAGACAGCACAGTTATAACACAGAGTGGAAAACCAGAACAAAACAAGTATACACACACACACACACACACACACACACACACATATATATATATATATATATATATAGTAAAATACAGAACAGGTAGCTAGATGAAACACACACACTCACACACACACCTTTTGAAATTTAGTGTTTAGATGCAAGGTTTGATTTATTTTATTTCCTTTTAAATTAAACTTATTAACAACCTATTTTAGTTATGCACGTTAAGAATGGGTCAAATGCTAAATTTATTTTATAACATTCGTTGCAAACTGTAACAATGCATGCGGCAAATAAACCAACTGGAACTTGAACTTCTACAAAAAAGATTCAATCATGTCATCTGGCCTAGTTTCTTTAAGTGAGAAACATTTCGACCCCCATCCAGAGGACTTTGTGCAAAGCACACCCATCCAAAACAATCAGTCATCATGGACAGCAATCAAATGTTTTCGACCAGGTGGCCAACTAGCTACTCACAGAAATAGCCTGAGGCAGGCTGAGGAAGTCCTCTGGATGGGGAGGAGACATTTTTCACTTAAAGAAACCGGTCCAGATGACACAGTTTAACCTTTTTTGTTGTTGATTGAGCTTACAACCCTTTAACTTGAACTACTGTTTTGACCAGTAGAAAGAACAATATGGCAACTGACATACTGAGAGTTCATCCATCCATCCATCCATCCATCCATTTAGCCCTTCATGCAATTTCAGTCAGACAGCACAGCACCAGGTGACATGTACTGGTAATTAAGACAAACATCAAACTGTGTAACAATGACTTGAGTCCCCATGACTCAATGAGACTAATCTGTATAAATAAAAGTTGAATGAATGTAGCCATTAGGGTATCTTTGACATCTAGAAATATAAAGATATTTGAGTAAATAAAACTATTTTTTGTACAAATGCACAAAAGTTTACCACTCAGACGTACACACTCACACTCTATGCCAGAATGCAGGCCTTCAACTGTGACAGATTCAGAAAAATGTACAACAAAATGTCTAAAACTACTTCATCTTATCTGCTATATCTTAAATTCTAAACACAATAAAACACACACAGTTGGAATGGCTTTATTACTAAAACTCACTAAATTTGAATGTTTAGTTTGACAGTTTTAATTGTAAATAAAAAAATCACACAAACTCAACAGATTCATGTCATGAAATAATATTCATTCATTCATTCAACCTTTATTTATACAGGTTAGTCTCATTGACTCAATATGTATGTATGTATGTATGTTTTATTTATTCATTTCATTTCATCCAAACAACAAATATAATACAATTTAAAGAAAAGAAAAAAGATATACAATCACCGAAATAAAATGAAAGGCAGCAGAAGAAGAATTAATTCTTATAATATCTGCCCCTTGTCCCCAAAATATATTCCAAACAAAATTACTATACAAAAGCAAGATGAATATGAGTGAAAATTGCAGAAATTAGAATCAGAATTACACAAATATTAATAACTTGAGGTTTTAAAATGTCCATTTCTCTGGGGTAAATTAATAATTATTGTTTCTGATGACCCAACTGTTCTGTGTCCCCAGTGGTCTTTTGTGACCACCTCAGCGTTCAGTTTCAATTACTGTATTCTACTTTGTTTGTTTTGGTTTTTTCAGTTGGGATAAATAAAATGACCAATTTTAGAGTATTTAATGTAAATATTAAAATATTAAATTAAGTCTGAGGTGATACCTTTCAGCATCATTCTTCAAATCTAAGAATAAACTGATATTATGAAAACACAGAACTAATTGGTTCTAGAATTGCGCCGCTCAAGGTGGCTGCATGTTGGAGCAGCTCTGTTACTTTCATTCTGAGATTTTTGCTTTTGTAAACTTTAATTCCTCTTTTTCTGGACGTAAATCACATTTTTTGGATGATTGTTTCCTCTGGTATCGGATGCTGTGCAGCTGGAAGGATTTTTACAGAAACTTTTTTAGTTTTGGACATTTGTTATGATGCGTAACCATGGCAACAAGGCAGTTTCTACAACCAACAGCAGCTGATTAATATCTCAAAAGCTCAAGTAATATCTCAACTACAGCCTTAAATTTCAAATGAGTTGAAAAGGATGTTCTGTGGATGCATTTTCATCTACCTGCCAGCTGTGCTCTAGTGCCTGACCACTGAGATCCTGGAACTAGCAGGAAGCACGGCTCATGACAGCGGAAGGACAGGATCGTCCATCAGCACCTACAGTTGGCTGTCCGCAGCTATGAGGAGCTCAACAAGAGGAGTGACCATTGCCCTGGGAGGATTTCTGCCCAACATTCAGGTGATCCTGAAGCCCAGGAGGCCAACCAAGTGCAAGTAAACGGATCAACATCTGTGGCCAGTTTTTTCAGATCTGCTATAAGACGGACCATCACAAGAGATCCTTCCTGCCCACAACCATCAACATCTAGAACAACTCTTTTATGAAACAAGGAAAATGAGCTACAACAACATTTAATTTCCCTCTGGGATTAATAAAGTATTTTTGAATTGAATTGAATTGAATTGAATTAATTGAATTTATGTTTAGCTTATGCATGTGAAAAATTTGACTCAGCAGTTCAGTTTAAAAAAAGTTTTACAAGTTTTTATGGTGATTTAAACTTCACACATCCTGTAAACAATTGACACTCATGTCATTTCCCTCAAGTGTTGTCTATTAGCAAATAACATTTTTTTTTTCAGATGAGTCCAGGGATTAATTAAAATGTAAGATAGTTATTAACCATTATTTAATCATATCCCAAAGGGCCTCATTAATAAGTGTTTTGACAAAGACATCCAGTTGATGTCATTTCTTTTTAGAAGTGGATCCATTTGACAAATAGTTTTTTGCAGGTAGCTCCTGCAAATGTGTTATGTATATATATATATATATATAAGTCCTTTGTAGAGTTTTTTTTTTTTTCAGACTGATGGATTTCTCCCCTAAAATGATTATTTTATTCAAAAGGGTTATATTTACAGGACTTAAGCTCATGTAGTCATAAATTACTAATTATTTTTCATCCTTGATCATTTATTAAATTGTATTTATCATAGTTCAGTTACCACTCAGCATGATTCAAAATAGTATCAAATTTAACAGCCAAAACATCTCATAACTGGTAACACACATTTTAGAAGTTAAGTTTGCACATATTTCCAATAAGCCACAAAAACACCTGAAATTGACTCTCACAGAAAGAACTTTGTGAGTTTTAGAGGGAAAAAAATCAATTTACACAGAGGCACACATTTTTGCTATAATCTGGGGCATACAAATAGTGTTTTTTTTATTGTTAAAAATATGTAATTATAAGAACTAAAGCAGTAGACACGAACAGGCTGAGCACAATCCCACGTGATGTCTCCTTTGAAGATCAGGAGTTTGGTCACACGTGCAAATTGGACATGCCTATATGATGGTTACGATGCTCTGAACACATTAACATTTAATACAAAGTTAGATTTTGGCTATGAAAGTCCCGAGGAGGTCAGGGGTGCTGTGCAGGAGGGGTGATGGGGTATCAATTCTGGTATGTCTCCCCACTACAGTGAATGGGTTACACTTTCTGAATTCTTTCTGAATTCAGAAAGAAACTGTAATTTAATTAACTCAAATGACAACTGAATAAAAGTGGGAAAAGAGAAAACATTTACCTTATTTGGCGTTATCAAATAAAAAATGCTCCCAAACTTGAGAAAGTTTCCACTTTCTCGATGGCTCCATACTATCTTACCCAAAAATGTGAACTCAAAAACAGCAAACAGTCAAAGTCTCCTCTCCTCAGTACAGATGCAGATCTTCAGATGCTAGATGCAGATGCAAGCATCTATAACATGAAGATACGCTCCACTAACTATGACCTCTGACCCTTGGGTTGTCTACCAGACTCCACATGTACTATTTTTTTTAAAGTTACTTTGGACTTGAAAATGTCTGATGTTTTCACACATTCACTGTCCTTTGACTAAGAGGCAGCTAAAATCTGACTGATGGTTACTCTGTTCTATTATACTTGTAAGAAAAAAAAACTAAATCATTAATGAAGTTTGTTTTATTTAATTATGATAGGTGTGAACATGAATAATTGTTGATTATTGTTTTCAATCATCCATCCATCCATCATCTTCTTCTTATTCCAAAGTCGGGTCGCGGGGGCAGAAGCTTAAGCAGGGAGGCCCAGACATCTCTTTCCAAAGTCACATCTTCCAGCTCTTCTGGGGGTCCCCAAGACATAGCACTTTGAGATTTTTGTTAATGAAAAGTGCGTTACAAATTAAATTCATTATTATTATTATTATGCCCAAGCCAGCTGAGAGACATAGTCTCTCCAGCATGTCCAGGGTCTTCCCCGTGGTCTCCTATCAGTCAGACATGCCCGAAGTGCCTCCCTAGGGAGGTGCAAAGGAAGCATCCTTACCAGATGCCCAAACCACCTCAACTGGCTCCTCTCAATGTGGAGGAGCAACGGTTCTACTCCGAGTCTCTGGATGACTGAACTTCTCACCCTGTCTCTAAGGGAGAGTCCAGCTACCCTGTGGAGGAAACTCATTTCAATCGCCTGTATCTACAATCCCATTCTTTTGGTCACTAAATGAGGTTTATGGCTATAGGTGAGGGTAGGAGTGTAGAACGACTGCTTAACAGAGAGCTTTGCCTTACAGCTCAGCTCCCTCTTCATCACAACGGACCAGCACAGTTCAGAATACTGCAGACACTGCACCAACACATCTGTCAATCTCAGGCTCCATTCTTCTCTCACTCATGAACAAAACCCCAATATAGTTGAACTCTTCCATTTGAGGCAGAAACTCACCCTCTACCTAAAGAGAGCAATCCACCCTTTTCCGACTGAGGACCATGGCCTCACATTTGGATGTGCCAATTCTCATCCCAACCAATTCACACTTGGCTGTGAACCGTTCCAGTGAAATATGAAGATCATGGCCCCATGATACCAACAGGACCACATCTTCTGCAAAGATCAGAAATTGAATCCTGAGGCCACCAAACCAGAATCCCTCCAATGTCCTGGCTGCACCGACAAATTTTGTTCATAAAAGTTTTTAACAGAATCGTTAACAATGGGCAGCTCTGGTGGAGTCCAACTCCCACCCTGAAGGGGACCCACTTACTACTGGCAATGCAAATCAAACTCTTGCGCTGCTTGTATAGGGACCAAACAGCCTGTAGAATTGAGCCCCAATCCCATACTCACAGAGCACCCCCCCCCCCCCCCCACAGTGTATCTTGAGGAACATGGTCGAGAGCCTTCTCCAAGTCCACAAAACACATGTAGACTGGATGGGCAAACTCCTATGATCCCTCCAGGATGCTAGTGAGGTTAACAAGTTGATCCTGTGTTCCACGGCCAGGACCAAACCCGCATTGTTCCTCCTGGATCTGAGGTTCGACCAACGATCGGACTCACTTCTCAAGTACCTCAGAATAGACCTTAACACGGAGGCTAATAGAGTACAAACTCCGGTACCCCTTTTGGAAGAGGGGAACCACCATCTCAGTCTGCCAATCCAGTGGCACTGCCCCTAGTATCTACATGATGTTGCAAAGGTGTGCCAACCAAGACAGCCCCACAACATCTACAGTCTTAAGGAAATCAAGGTGAATCTCTTCCTACCCCAAGAGCCCTGCTGCCTCAGAACTTTTTAACTATCTTGGTGACCTCAGTCACGGTTATGGATGGATCAACCCCAAAGTTCCCCGACTCAGCTTCCTCCATGGAAAACATGATGGTGGGATTGAGAGGGTTCGAGAATAATTCCTTCCACTTCCCGACGACATCACTGGTCGAGGTCAACAGCAACCCACCTTCACTAAAAACATTGTTAGTAAAGCACTGTTTTCCCCTCCCCAGCTTCCTGATGATTTGCCAGAATCTCCTTGAAGCCACCCAAGAGTCTTTATCTAAGGCTTTACTGAACTCCTCCCATATCCGATCTTTTGTCTCAGCAACAGCCAAGGCTGCAGACTGTTTGTCTCTCCGATACTACTCAGCTGCCACTGGAGTGTCACTAGCCAAAAAGGCCTGATAGGACTTCTTCTTCAGCTTGACACCCCCCCCCCCCCCCCCGCCAACCGGAAGTGTCCACCACTGAATTCAATGACAGCCACTGTGAAAAATACTGATAAACTTGTGGCCACAGATCAAGGTAGCCACTTCAATAATTGAGGTGTGGAGCATGGCCCACTCAGACTCAATGTCCCCCACCTCAGCTGGGATGCTGTTAAATCTCTCCCAGAGGTGCAAGTTGAAATTCTTTCGGATGGGTTCTTCTGCCAGGTGTTCCCAACAAACCATCCCTACACATTTGGGTCTACCGGGTCTGTCCGGGATCTTCCCCCGCCGTCTGACCCAACTCACTACCAGGTGGTGATCAGTTGACAGCTCAGCTCATCTCTTCACCTGAGTGTCCAAACCAAATGACCACAAATCAGATGACATGACAACAAAGTCAACCATTGACCTCCAGAGAATAAAGAAGCCCCCAGCTGACACAACTTCCAGCACCCTTGCCAAGGACTCCAAGAAGGCCAGATACTCTGAACTGCTGTTTGGTGTGTAGGCACAAACAACAGTCAGGGTGCATCCCCCCACCTGAAGGCACAGAGAAGCCACCCTCTCATCTACCAGGGAAAACTCCAGCACACAGACACCAAGTCAGGGGGGCAAAAGTAGACCCCCCCCCCACCACCAACACCACCCAGCGCCTCTTACCATAGGCAGCTCCAGAGTAGAATAAAGTCAAGCCCCTGTCAAGGAGATTGCTTCCAGAGTCCATGCTCTGCATCGAGGTGAGCTCAACTATATCTAGTCTCTACCTCTCAATCTCACGCACAAGCTCAGGCTCTTTCCCTACCATAAATGTTACATTTCACGTTCCAAGAGGCAGCTTCGGTAAGCCAGAGTCAGAGCGCCAAGGTCCCCGCCTTCGGCCACTGCCCATGGCATAATGTACCCAAGTTGTATGGCCCCTCCTGCAGGTGGTGGGCCCACAGGAAGGTTTTATTTTCCTCCAACTTGATAATTGTTTTACTCTTATTTTTTTGTTTTGTTTTGTCTTTTTTTACACACTGAACTCCATTGAATAGTTTTGACTACACCACACTATTATCACAGAATATCTTCTGCAGCATATGACCATGTGTAGTAACACATCAGGCTACCCTGAGAAACACCAACTGGTAGGTAAAATAGAACAATTACACAAACAAATGAAAACTACAATCGTCCCTTACGAACACCACATCTATGTCTGCAAATCATGAGTCCACTATTTGTCCACTATTGATGGCCACTGCACCTAAAGATTAGATTTTTTATATTTAATGAAACTTTTTGACATTCAAATTACCCACCAATACCCTCCCCCCCCCACACACACACACACACAATCCCTCAAACAACATTTAATTAAAAAATTTAAAAGTAAAATGCAAAAAATGTCAACCTAATATATGATGGTTGATTTATGAATCAATAAAAATATACCTGAACTTTAACAACAAAATGTTTATACCTTTTATTCCGTGTGTGTTGCCAATTACTTTTTTTTACAAGCTCACTTTGCGTTACTGTAACTTTGCAATAGTTGTGATAATTAATGTGGAATGATAATTCCAACAGTTTCTGAAAGGCTTTTTACAGTAGCCTCCATCTTGCCCCTGAAACTGCTCCTCTGTTTTCCTCCTCCCACACATACACAGGTGAGTCCAGTCAGCTCTTGTCAAATGCGGGACATTTGGGTGTCCCTTATACCTCCTTATGCAGCATGTGGGACGGGGGCAAAATTTGGAACGTCTGGCCCAAATCAAGATGGATGGCAGGTGTGATAATGACACAGCTGTAAGAGTATCACTGCCTGCAGCTCCTCATCCAAGATGGCTGCTATGTCAACAGCTGTCGGCCATCAACCTGATGAAGATCATCTCCTACATAAGGCTGCAGTCCAGTGTTACTCTTCGCTGGAGCATTGACCATCTAACGGTAGTGTTGTCTCTGGCCTGTAAGTTAGTATTAAGTAAATCTACTTACCAGTCTCTTTTTGTTTCCAGTGTTCCTGCCTCCTCGGTCCAGACGGTCCTGGCTCCCTGGTCCTGTCTTGGTTCTCCTTGTGCCTCATTCTGATTCTCCCAGCGCCTCGTCCTGGTTCTCCTCGTGCCTTGCCAACCACCAGTTGCCAGCCTTCCTCGCTCTGTTGGCTCGTTGGCCTTGTCCCCCTCTGGAGCTCTTCTAAGGATTTGGAGTGGACCCTAAGGAGATCTTCAAATCTGTAAGAGATAAAACATCATCACATTAATATTGCCTGACCATCTGCCGACCTCCTCTGACCATCTCCCTCCTCTTCCAGGAGCTGCAGAGAAGCTACTGTACATTTACCACTGTAAATAATAAACACTGTCACTTTTGTACTTGCCTGTGTCTGTCTCGTTCCGGGTCTCATACCACTCTGTGTTCCTCGAGTCATAACAACGGCTCATTTCTAACCCAACTCATTGCATTAAACATTTAGGTCCAATTTTTGCTCAAGTTAACCCAATTTATGATCCAAAACCTTTAACACATCATTCGTTATCACAGTACCCAGCAGTTATTAGTGTGCCTTCTCCTTTTTTGTTTGTTTGATTAGAACATGTAAAAAGTCAGTTTTGTCAAAAATAGATAAGTGAACTCCAGATATTCTGGATATGGTCCTGGTTTTTGTTTCTGTTGTATGTTGTTTTCATCATTTTAAATTTTTTTTTTACATTTTCAACATTCTTACATTTGCAAATATTGTAATTTCTTTAAATTCAGCAGTGGCTTACCACCAATGAGGACTGTAACTTTTTTGATAGCTGAATATATACTGAGAGCAAACTAAAAACAAAATTTTAAGTTATTCTGACCCATCATAAGTTCCGTCATTACTTGATTAGATGTTTTTTCATTGTTGTTAATAATCCCAGTGGCAAAAGGTGACGAAAACAAGGAGTCGGTACATGATAAAGACATATATTCAGGGCAGTTCTAAACAGTCTGTGCAAGACACATTTGAACGTGATGTGCTAGGTAGATTCAGGTCTGAAGACTTTGGCAAAGTTTCCAATAATGGATCATTTTCCCCATTAAGCTGAATGAAAATGGAAAACCAATCATTAGAATTCAGTTATCACTTAACACTGGACCCATTTGTCATTCCACCTGGAGGAAAGTATCCAATATTTGTTTTTGGTATTGTCATTTATTTGTTTGGAATGTTCTGCAACCTGACCCTGTTGTTTTTAATTATTCTAAAGAAGAACCTTCACAAACCCATGTACTTTATCTTGTTCAGTCTTCCCTTCACCGATCTAATTGGAATAACCACAACGCTCCCAAAGATCTTGTCAGATATTGTTACAGAGACACATAACATCTATTATCCATTTTGTGTTTTACAGGCATTTCTGCTCCACATGTATGGTGGAGGAATTTTGTTTATTCTTGCAGCAATGTCTTTTGATCGTTACGTTGCCATCTGCATGCCGTTACGCTACAGTTCCATAATGACCCCAAGACTGGTTGTTTACATTATTTGTCTGGTTTGGGGTCTTGACTTTATCTTGATTGTAACATTTTTTTCATTGCAGACAAGGGTTTCCAGGTGCAGATCTGTCATCATGAATGTCTTCTGTGATAACCCTTCTCTGCTGAAGCTCACATGTGGAGACACAACACTTAATAATATAATTGGACTGTTTAACACGGCGGTCATACAGGCTTTAAGTGTGTCCATTCAGGCATATTCTTACTTTAGGATTCTGATTGCATGTGTGGGTAAGAGAAAATTTAATGCAAGAGCAAAAGCTGTAAACACCTGTGTTGCACAGTTAGTCATTCTGGTTATATTTGAGATTGTTGCAACTTTCACAGTTTTATCTCATAGGTTCAAAAACGTTTCAGCTGATTTGCAAAAGATTATGGGTATGCTGATATTTATTGTACCTCCACTTCTAAATCCAATTGTATATGGCATTTATACAAGTGAAATACAAAAGACTTTTCTAAATATCCTTAAAAATAGAGTATGTGTCTGAGTGTATCAGAATATTAGAAATCCAAGTATAATTTATATTGTGTGCAGTAGCCACAAAATGAGATCAAATGGAAACAACTGTCAAATAAATATGAGATTTAGTATTTGTATAAAAAATGTTTTAGAGTCTATCACGAGAAATTTCAATTGCATTTGACTTTATTTTTTTCTGGAATTTGTGTTTTTAAAACTGAAGTTTTTGTAAAAAATGTGACAATTGTTAACAATGGTTAACATTTATGGTGGTTTTGGTTGACATTGATTATGTATGATAGGTAAACTTTAGATGGATGTACATTGTTTTTGAGTTACGATAGTATCAGAGTAGCTACACTAACACACTGCTGTGCTGTATTTTGTGTTTGTTTGGTTATGGTCTGTTTCTTTTCTTTTATTTTTTTACGTGTACATTACAACATACATCTGTGATGAGTAATGTATGGCATAGAGTAAAAAAGAAGGTTTCTTTAGGTAAAGTATATTGTGCACTGTATTTATTTATCTTTTATTTTGAGATAAAAAAATATTTACAAAATGTATTTGTTTAAAAAATATAATACAATTGTATTTGAAATGTGAACCCACATGTTTAAGAGCCCATTACAGTGCCTTTCAAGAATATTAATTTTATTATTGTGGTGGTCATGTGAGGGCCATTGAAATTTTTCGGTGGCCGACATGTGCAAACGTTCTAAAATCCTGGGGATGCAGACCAAAACTAAAAGCAAGAACAGAGTTTTAGGAAATGTGTTATGTTGGTATGTTATTTGACAAAATGCAACAATACAGGAGTTAGGGAATCAAAGTCTGTTAAAGATGTGTCTACTGTAGTTTGTTTTCTTTTTTTCATTTGATATTACTTATTGAGAAAAGCACTGTCACTACTAAACTTTTTGAAGCTTGTCCTCACCTAAATTTAAATTGATAAATGGACTGTACTTATATAGCGCCTTGCTATCTTATTGAGATACTCAAAGCGCTTTACACTACAATCTGTGCCTCATTTACCCATTCATACAGCACTCTACTAGATCTCTACAAAGCTAATGGAACAAATCATTCTAAACAGACTAATCAGAGTTTTATCACTTTCATACACCAATGGGACACACATCGGAGGCAACTAGGGGTTCAGTGTCTTGCTCAGGGACACTTCGGCATGTGACTGCTAGTGGATTCGAGCCAACTCTTGCATTGGAGGACAACTGCTCTAACCACTCAGCCACAGCTGCCCTCATACGTGCTGCTATA